GGGACCCGGCACCTGGGCGCTGAGGGCATCCGAGCGCGGAACGGCCCCGGCGCTTGCCCCGGACTCCCGCTTGGGCGGGGGCCGAGCAAGTTCCCAGGCGGCGGGTGTGCCCCGAACTGGAGTTCGGGGCCCCAACGGGGCACGGGGAAGGCTGCCCAGGCGCTGGTCTGGGGGCTTGGGGAGGCCGGGTGGGCTGGTCCGGGAGGTGGTGTGCGGGGCGATCGTGCAGCACGGGGAGCCCAGGCGGCCAGTCACGAAGGGCGAGCTGCTTCCCCTAAGGGGAGCGGAGAAAGCTGTGGCTGCAGAGTGACCATATATTTAGGCGGCTGTTTTCAAAATCCAGGCTGAGCCAAGCCATATGGAATTGAAAGGCAATGGAAAAGCTTTCAAAGTTTTTGACCAGTGACATGAGCAGAGCTGTGCTTTAGATGAGTTTAGACTTTTTTAGGATAGATTGGGGTGGGGAAGGCACTGGAGGTGGAAGGCAGAGCTCCTGGGGAGGAACGGAGTAGACCCTCCAAACGGATTTACCCCCTCTTGTTTCTCCCTCATTGCAGTCCATTCCTTGTCACAGCGGGTTTTTCGTTCTAGTGCTGACACTAACTAGATGTGTGACCTTGAATAAATTACTTTATTTCTCTTGGCCTCTGTTTTTTCATGTGCAAAACTAAGAGTTGGGTTCTCCAAGGTTCCTCCAAGTCTTTGATCCCATGATTTTTGGTGAGGTGAATCACAGAATCAGACTATTTGTTATATGTTTTAAAATTTGATTCACATGTAAAACATTTTCCTTAACCTTTTTATTATGAAATTTCAAACATACAGGAAACTTGAAAGAACTGTGTAGTGAACATCCATTTTCATTTATTTTTACAATGGGCAATATATTGGCAGGTGCAAAATGTAAAATATACAGGGTGTCCTGTATACACACTTTAACAGCTCAATATTGAAAATGAAATTATTTTTAAAAACACTGCCTTTATAGTTATTCAAAATATGTATATACATTTTTTGGGACAACCTGTATATAAGGGCATACAGTGAAAATCTTTTCTCAGCCTTCCCTTCCACCCAGATCCCCTCCCTGGAGGCAGCTTATTTTGTGTATCCTTCAGATGCTGATACAAATAAAAATGTATATGCATTTCTCACCTTTTCCACACCCATTTTTTAAATACAAATACTAATGTCATATTAACATTTCAGCATCTTCCTTTTTTCACATACGAAATATATATATATCTTGGGAGGGTCATAGGCTTTATTGCTAGTTTTAGAAATGGCCGGTGTTGAAACCTGGGCTCGGAGAAGTTGTGACTTGCTTGACTTGCTTGAGGTCATCAAACTTGTTAGTGTTAGATCTGGATCTGGAGCCTATTCTCTCTACTCACAGGCCAATGACAAAATATTACAGATGCAAGTTTTCTTTGTCATATAAATGGTCACAGTGATTTTAAAAGAACATTCAGGACTCTGTGTATTTATATTTAAATGTAAAACTCTTGCCATAGAAAGGGCATTGATAAGAGCATTGGACCTGGAGAGGGATTTTAAAGTACATTGGGGAAGAAAAGAAGTCAATACTCCTGGGCAGTAAATATAGAGAAGGGGGTGGAGAGTAAGAAGTGATATCTAGGAAGAGAAATTGGGACTGTTGAGAGTCAAGTAAGCTCTTTTTCTAGGCTGCTCATGCTGGACCAGTTACACCATTAAGGAGTTCATTTTTTCTTTTACAAACTATTTGATGTTTTTGTATGACATTTTGTAGAAATAACATAACACTCCATTACATAGTTTAGATTATACATATAGGTAAATCTATTACTGCCTTCAAGGAGACATACCTTAATAAAGGTCCGTTCATTTTATTAAGGAACTTAAATGAAAAAATTTGCAGGCCTGAGAAATTTAATTTTGGAGGACAGTAGAACAGAAATGTAATGTTTACAGTTACAGTTACATACGCCTAAGTGCTTTCCTGTTTTGCTTTTTGTATTGATCTGGATTCTTTACTGAATTGATTTTGGGAAGTTCAACTTAAAAAATCTTATTCTTTAAAAAAATCTATTCTTATTTCATTTGCAATTTAAAAAGGATAGATTTTAAGGTATGGGTATGTTCCAGTGAGATACTTGTAAAAATGGCTTAAAACATCTCTCTACCCTATTATTATTACAGACCTTTTAACTGCACAAGCCATTTAAATTTTTCCTTTAGCACTTTTTTTTCCCTCTTGTCTTAGACTCTGGCACTTACTTTAGCTGCTCAGGGACCAATTTAGATTATTCCCTTCATTTTGGCCTTGTTCTCAACAGGCAAGGTTGCCAAAAAGCCAAGTTCCAGATGGGTGAGGTGCCACTGTGCTTTTGCAGAGCACTCTTGGTATAGCGCAACATTTCTGTGCATTGGCGTTGGAGAGCTATAGTTGATAAATCTAGGACACTGATTCTTGAAGTCACCTTTGGCAATCTGTTGTTTCCACATCTTCCTATTACAAGTACCTTAAATCCTACTTACCTTTTTTCCCCCCCTGATTGCTCTTTTTTCTCTTTTTCTTAGGTGGCTTGTTATAGCAGTTGGTTTGGTCAGAGCATACTTGGCTAAGGGTAGCTATCATAGCCTTTATTATGCCATTGAAAAGCCTTTGAAATTCTTCCAAACTGGAGCCTTATTGGAGGTAAGTCCTGAGATTTGTTGTTGTTACTATTGATTTCTATTTTTATAAAATAAAAAACATGCTACTAAATTATATTGAAGTAACAATATCTGTTGGATTTGCTTAAATTTTGAAAACTTGCCTTATAGTGTACTATAATGGTGATAACCTAGACCATCTTTTGATGTTCTAGGTAAAGTACAGTCTCATTTAACTTGTATTACCTGGAATATGTTTTACATTCTATTTCTATTGGAAATCAAATGAAACAAGCTCATATTCGGATTTTTAAAAATTGTAGAGACATCCTAGGGAAGTAGTAACAAACTCAGATACTTTCAGGGGCCAAGCATATAATGAAAACGAAATTGTTGGGTGTAGGGTATCAAGACTGGTAGATGTAAGAAATGGCAGAACCTGTCAAAAGGCATCCAAATTTAAAAAAGAAAAATTTTAAATAAAAGCTTATTGCCCTGTCTGGTGTGGCTTGGTTGGAGCATTATCCCTTGCACTGAAGGGTCACCAGTTTGATTCCTGGTCAGGGCACATACCCAGGTTTTGAGTTCAGTATGGGTGCATACGGGAGGCAACCAATCAATGTTCCTCTCTCACACCGATGTTTCCCTATCCCTCACCCTTCCTCTCTCTCTAAAATCAATAAAAACATTTTTAAAAATAAGCTTAAAAATAAATAACTAAAAATAAAAGCTTATTAATTTTCCTGTATTAAGGGTAATATATCTCTAGTCCTGTCTTCTGGGGTCAGTACATGTTAGGATTTTTGAGCTGCAAGTGACAGAAACACAGTTTAAACTGTTTTAAGCCAAAAAAGAGTTTACTGGTTTCTGTGGTTGATAAAGATACAGGTTTAACTTACAAAATCAAAGGAACCAGCTCAGGAATGAGAACCCAGGATTTGACATTGCCACACCCTTTCCGTCTCTCATCTCTGCTTATTTCTATTTCTTGTTAAATGTTGGTCTTAGACTCTCCTTCTGCAGACTGCCTTCTCCACATGGTAGGAAACAGGGAGGGAGTTTATTTTTCTCAGCATCTGTGTCATAGGTCTTGGGAAGGATCTGATTGGTCTTATTTATACCAATCACTCTTGCCAGTGATTAGACAGGTCTAGGAAAAGGGAAAATGGGGATAGCTTTGGGCACACAAAGGCAATAGCTGCCATAGTTTATTATGGTGTAAAACCTTCAGATTGAAGAGATCTGGTATTTAATTTCATTTCACTTAGCCTCCAGGGTAAGCCCAGTATGATATTCAGAAGGATATCATACATGAAGAAAACAACATTTACTTCCATGAAATGAGATGTGATGCCTCAACCTCTCACCCTCTCTTTTGGAAGCAGAAAATTGTAGTTTTTGTTCTTTTCTCTCAGGAAGCAGAGAGATTTCAATACTGTCTATACTTACACATTTTTGGTAGATGGTATAATGAAATAAGCTTCCAACTGGAGTCTGAGTACCCTTATTCTAAGTATGCTGGTTTTACCAACTTTATGAATTTGGGCAAGTCATTTATCTCTTATTCATCTCGTTTTCTCATTTGTAAAATAATTAGGTTAAAGTAGATTTCCAAAGCCCCTTCCTGCTTTAATAGTTTGAGTCTGAGGAAACCAGCAAATCCTTGTATGGACCATTTTTTTAATTTAGAGTCTTGAATTTTTTTGCAAGGGGGCAGTAGTGAGTAGTACTTTGTCTCACAGAGCTTTGCCCAATTCAGTTCTCAAGCTATAGAGAAGCAAGTTTGGGATCAAGACCATCAGAAACTGCCCCAGTGCTTAATACATTAAGAACTTGGAATACTTTACCCTGGCCAGTGTGGCTCAATTGGTTGGAGTGTCAACCTGTACACTGAAAAGTCACAGATTTGATCCCCGGTCTGGGCATATACTTAGGTTGCAGGTTCCATCCCCAGTTGGGATGTGTATGATGTTTCTTTCCCTCCCTTTCCCTTTCTCTTTCTTTAAAGTCAATAAAAACATCTTCAGGTGAGGATTAAAAAAAAATGTTGGAATACTTCAATAATTTAAAGGGGATTCTATCTCTGTAAGATTTTATAATATTGGAAGTATTATTTTAAAATTTTAACTATATCTTAGAAAAGATGGTGACATTCGTGTGATACAGAATCCACTCAAGTACCAAATCTTAGACATTGAAGGATTAGCCCAGGGCTATCTAGAATTTTTAATAGGGATTTAAGAAAATAACTTGGATTTTTGGTTTTACCTCTCTTATTCCCACTGAGAATCAAATAGGTGGTAAACCCTGGGTTTGATTTTTGGGAAAAGAACTCTGCATAATGAAGTGAAGACTCCCAGAAATATGCAGAGAATTAGCAGTGACTGTAGGATACTCCTTAGCCTGGGGCAAGCGAGGAGGCTTACTGAAACTACACTTCCTGAGTTGTCACTTGAGGAGTGTTATATTGCCCGCCCAACTTAAATTGTACAATAATTATATGTGCACAGTATTGTTTAAAGATAAGTTATCCTTATGGGAACTGTTAGTACTTGATTATATAGCTTGTTTACAGGAGGAGAAAATGAATGCAGGGAGATCAGCTACTCAAGTCACTATGCTGAATGTTATTTAGTAGGTTCTGGGGGAGTTTGCTTGGGGAAAAAATAGAAATTATTTGTTCTCAAGAAACTTCAAGTCTTAGGAAAATATAGCACTTTGCCTTTTAAAAGATTTTGAAACATTTACCAAGCAAATGCAAATGGGCATGTAGTGGTGTAATACAAAAAGACAATTTTGTTTCTGAGGAAATTACATTATTTTTTTGCAAAATGAGTGGAAAGATATATTGATTTGGTGTTGCAATAATATAGCTCTTTATAAAATGGATACAAATCCTAATTTTTTTGTTCATATTCATCTAAGAATATCTTGGGTATTTTTTATAGAAAACTTTACAAATTATTCCACAGGTGATAATTTAAATAAGTATGTGTTTGAGTCGCTATGATAGGTGCTGTGGAGTTTGAACCTTTGCTAATGAAAAGTTTAAAATCTTATTGGCAAGGTGATTATGAAGGACCCTTGGCTGGAAATCACAGAAAGCTCCTTAACTAACTTATACAATGAGGGAGATTCATTATAAGGTATAGAATGTTCCATGAAATCCAAGGGCAGGGATGCCACTGGGACTCAGGAATGGCCTACAGTCAGGGACTGGAACACCATAGGGAATCCAGGAGTTCTGGCTCAGTCTCTCATCGCTGCTGTTCTCTCTCTCTGTCTCTGATTCTTTTTTGTCTTCTTACAGACTATTTTTTTTGTTTCTTAGTCTACATGGCAGACAATGGTAACAGAAAAGCTCCTGAGATTGCAGTTCCTGCAATCAAGAGAGTGGCTAGTTGGAAACAGAATCTTACTACCAATTCCACATTCCTGGTGAAGGGCCTAATTTATCCAGCTTGAATCAGGAGCCCATTCCTGGACCAATCATGTGTATACAGGAGCAAGGTCACATTAATTATATAGAAGTTGGAAAGGAGGTCAGTTTCTAGAAAAGGGGGTGTTAGGTGGAAAGCCCAAGAAGTATTTAAAAGTACTTAGACACAATACAAGGAAGATGATACTATATGAGATGATTTATAAATTGACAGTAAAATACTGATAATCTGGGCCAAGAGATCAGTGTGTGAACAAATACAGTATGTGTTGCATTGAGTATTGAGTAATTCTGAGATCTAATTAACATAGATAGCAAAAATATATTTAAAGATTCCATCATGGATAAACAAAATGAGGTATCTCCATACCGTAAAATGAATGAATTACTGGTACATGTTATAACTTGGATGAATCTTGAAAACATGCTATGTGAAAGAAAGAAGCCAGACACAAAAAGCTACATTGTGTGATTCCATTTATATAAAATGTCCAGAATAGGCAAATCCATAGAGACAGAAAGTAGATTGTTGGTTGCTAGGGGCTTGGGGAGTGACTGCTAATGGGTACAGGATTTCTTTCTAAGGTGATGAAAATATTCTTGAATTGGATAGTGGTGACGGTTGTACAACCTGGTGAACATGTAAAAACCCACTGAATTGTAAACTTTAAATGGGTGAATTTTATGGTATGTGAATTATACCTCGATTTAAAAAAAATTCATCTATAATGAGCTGTGGATAAGTTTTCTTTTTACTTCATTCTTTTTTTTGGATTCATGATATTCAGGGGTAAGCACAAGTTCTTATGTTTACAGCTTTGTTAGAGTTGAATGAAAGATTAGAAATTAGTAGATTGATGCTATGTCAGTTTAAAATTATTTTTGAGAGAATTTGGACTTCTGAATATGTTTAATAAACATAAGACTGTAATTGTAGAAGACACTTTCAAATACTTATGAATGGATGTGCCCCTGTGATTGACAGTGAGGATTCCAGTGGGTTAAGGATGGCTCTGCAAAGACATTAATTCTTGAAACTGATAGAGCCCATCTTCAACATCTGTACGTCACTCTATATTTCATTTACCTACCACTGTCCATCTTGGACTATTTAATGAACCACTAGAACTCCCTTTCTTCCTCAACCTCTTCCTGATCTATTGCTTGGAACCCCCTTAAATCTATAAAAAGAAAAGGTGGGGAGCCAGTCTTACTTGTGACCTTTTCGTGGAGTTGATGTAGCCACTCTGGATCTAGAATGAACTTCTCCAGAGCTGTTATGTTTTCTAACTCCTCCTCCCCCACTAGCATTTTCTCAGCCCCCTCTCTGTATTCCGGTGTAACTTTTCATTCCTCACCTCACAACTCTCTTCAGATCTTTTAATGAAACATTCAGGAAATTGATTTTGGATATTTCTCTTAAATGTAGCAGAATCTTAAGAACTTGAAGTGTCCTTAATAAAAAGAGGGCTCCCATGTTGTCTTCCTGCCAGTTGTAATGTCTTTTTTCTCTAACACTGGATTATTTTCCTCACAGAGATCCTACATGGTTGGATTCTGTGGTGGTAATACAGTAACATACTTCAGGCACATTATGTCTTAAG